AAAGCCACAGTTCATTCAGGAAAAAAAAAAAAACTAAAACTTTTCATTCTATGTTACTTTTTATGAAACTATTTAGGGGTTAATTCTTGGAACCAGCATGGTCAGATCTCAAGTTGACCGGATTGGGCAGTTTTCAACTCTGTACGTAGATCGAGATGATTTAGTAAGGTAGGGCTCAACCAAGCTAGGCAACATAATAGACATCAGTTCTTATTATTCATCTCCAGATATTCAAAGGGATACAAGTACCAGAGTGATTTTATTTCAATCTATTGAGAACATGACCTTGCCATTCAAGACACCATAACAAGTGTAAGTTTTCACTTCTCAACCTAATGAGAATGGAAATTTTAGCAGAATTCCTCTATCACACATGCACAGAAAAACGACTACGACAATCACAAGCAAATGCATGAGAAAGTAGGCACTCAAAATCATGGATTTTGCCCTAAATATTCCACTTGCCTGCTTACCAAATAAAGACGCAACCAAGGACACAAGCCGTTCTTCCAACTCCTCTTGGTATCTCTCTTTCTTATTCTTCTTGTTCATGGGAATCTAAACATTAGCAGAAATAAGGAAATTATTATCCAGTGAGAAATATGTTTCTCGTAATTATCCAAGTCCCGAACTTCCAACTGGAAATTGGGCAGCAACGTGGTTTAAAACAAGCTTATTGAAGAAATAAACAAAATTGCGGAGCAAAATGGTTATCCCAGTTCAAGAACTCAATTCACGAAATAGGACCATCAGCCTCTCTTTTCCAAGAAAACAGAACTAGAGAAATATAACATGAACAACGATGGAAATAACGATAAAACGAGAGAGGCACTTAGGGGAAGGAAGAACTTGCCTTACCCATGAAAGCAGCAAATGCAGTTTTGAGACCCAAAACGTCCACAAAGCGCTCGCAAGCAGGCGGGTACTTAGTCATAGCAAAATCAAGGGCCCTAATGGCAGAACCATAAGCGGACTTCTTCTGCTTCATAATGATAATCATTAACTCAACACCCTCGGCCTTGACAAATCTCTCCTTGTTCTCTAAAGGCATCAACAAACAGCACAAGCAATCAAACAAATTCTCAACCATCTCTTCCTCGTCGGCGACCTTGGGGTCCTTGGATTTGTACATAGCCACCGCTTGCAGAACCACGTCCACGCCATTCATCTGCCCTACTCTCTTCTGATTAGCCGTGCTATTCTGCAACAAAATGGCCAAAATCTCCGACGCATACTGCTTGTTTCCATCAAACTCTCTGACCTTTATCTTGCTCAGCAGCCATCGCAGAAGCTTGGTCCTTTCACAAACCAGTTCAGCAACGGCCAGCTTCACCTCCATCAAATTCTCGATAGTAGCCAACGTGCTGTACACAGCCGCCATCTCTTCCGTATCCGCTTCAGATAACCTATGCAAGTTCTGAACCAGTAACTCGAGAACATTATTCTCAACGAGCGCGTCAACCAGAATACGCGCAGCGTCGTCATTTTCATCGAGGACATCTTCGTCGGTGAGGTCCTGCAGGAGCTGGACAACGTCAATTGCAATATCAGAGTTATCGTGAGAGAGGAGATTGACGATGGAAGGAATGACGTTAAGGCCAACGAGCTCCGGGTACAGCTCCGGTCCACCGGCTAGGATCTTGAGCTTCTGGAGCTCCTCATGGAGGTCAACCTCGGAATCGGCAAACTTCTCCGGCTGTTCCGGGTACTTGAGACGCGCGGCGATATTTTCCTTGAGGCGGCGTTCGAAGGAGAGCACCAGCTTCTTCAAGGTGCGGAGGTCAAGAATCTCTACCGAACTTTGCGATTTCTCAACTGCTTCTAGCAGGGAAAGGTCAATATCCATGTCGTTTTGGCCTCGGAGCGCCGGCGGCGGTGAGGTTGCGGCGGAGGAGAGTGAAACGGCGTCGTCTGCTCTGCGCTTTCGGGTGTGGTTAACTTCCATTGTTGTGTCTGCTAAGTGTTTGCGTTAATGCCTAGTCCAAGTCGGGTCATAAAGAAATACGTGGAGTTCCCGCTTGCTCGCGCTCCCCAAATTTTACCGAGTTTATTTGGCAGATGGTTAATATTTTTAAAATTTTATATTTTTCACATATAAATATGTAGGAATATTATTGTATTTTCATTATTATTATAAATATATATATATATATGTTTCATAAATTATTAATAAAAATAAAAAATTACATGACATGTTTATCCCAAGTATTTTTTAAACTAAAATATGTAATTCAAGGAATAATAATTTTTAAATTCGATCGTAAAATAAAAGTTTAATAATAGTTTCGAGCAAAATCAACTAAAGTAAGATGTGAAATTTAGAAAAATGAATTAATTTATATATGCGACGAATAGAAAAAGATGTCTTAGTTACTTGATTCTATGTAGAAGATATGTAATTACCAGAGAAAAAAATAAGGAAATATGCTGAGAATAGTTGCAGCCTGAATGATTGGTTATACATATAATCATACATATATATATATATGTATATGTATATGTATGTAATAATAGAGAAATAAAAAAGATAAAATCAATCATATCCTTCTTAATTCTTCAATAGGTCATAATCATAAAAAACCAAGAAAATGTTCCAAGCATAGATCTTCTGGTTTTCTTCACTAGAATTAGAATCCCCTGCCTCTCCTTCCTCTGAAATTATACTTTGAAGATCCTCTGTTTTTCAAAATATTATCAATAAAACAAATTAGTCCAGACTTATAAATTTGAGGAATTAGTACAATTTCTCATAATATATGTACATATATATATAAACAATTAGTTACCTGTAACTTGATGTTGATCCTCTGTTTTTGTCTCTTAAGCTGAGAGATCCAAATGATCTTGACACCGAATGAAACGAGTCATCTTTGAAAAATAGGTTCTCTCTAGAAGACCCATCGTTGTCTATTGGCCATTTATTCGGAACAACATAGTTCCTGCAGGAAATTTTACGATTAAGAATATGATATTTTATTACTCGTTGATTAGAACCTACAATTCAATTGCTTGTTTTACAAGTTAAGGCATTTTTTATGTGTCACAAATTAAAATTCGGATAAGCAAAAACTGGAATTTAGTTCATACCCTTCTGTACACTGGTGTTTGCAGCGATTCATTTTGTCAACTGTGTAATTTCCGAATATGTTATCAAGGCGCTTCGCGAGCTTCGGGATTTCGGAAGGCGGCAGAACATCCCAAACCTTCAATACCTGAACTTGGTATGAAGTCTCCCTTTGAATTTCAACTGCCCAAAGCAGAATCAGATTGCTGTTTACTGGATACTGTTCCAACAGCAGGGAACATGTTCCATCAAGCGAGACAACATTTCTTTCGTCTTCTGATTGGCGCCAGCCACTCGAAAGCTTTTTTAGCAAGTTATAAAGTTCCTTGAAGGTCTCAGGATCTTTGATCTTTGTAATAGATTTCCGGAAATCGTTGCTGAACCAAACCTAAATTTTTTGTATTTAAAACTTATTAGCCTTGTGGAGAAATTTCATAAATGATCATATCGAAGAAATGAAAAATAAAAAAGGATCATACCGTCCATCTGGCATCCTTGAGATTTAGAGAGTCCATACTTAGTATCATATGGACTTGATCGATTTCAACCAAGGCAGCAGTAATTGCCTCAGACAAGCTTTTATCTTCATCGGCATCATGCAGGCATCCACGCTGCCTGGCATCATTTATCAGTTTCTGCCAGACTGAGCCGCTGTTACTTAGAGTCGCCTCATTCCCTAATATCCACATACAGTACCTGTAAACACACGATACCTTCCGGTTTCAGTGTAAAGAAACAAAAAACGAAATATGTTGGATCTGAATTATTATTTTCTTGGGCATGATACCTTGCACGAGTTAGAGCCACATTCGCCCTCTGATTATTCGAAAGAAAACCAACTGATCCTGCCCCGTTACATCTCACAGTCGATATGATTATCACGTCCTCCTCACCACCTTGAAATCCATCAACAGAACGGACATTTACCGTGAATCCATTTTCTTCGTTTGAAATGTACTTCTCTCCAATTCTCCCCTGGATTGCATAAACTTGAGCTTTATAAGGTGAAACAATGCCTATGCTGATTTTATCTTTCTTCTGCCTAAATTCTGAATTGGACAAAGGTAAAACTTTAGGCCAAGCCACTATTATAAACTCGGTTACTTCCTTCACAAGAAATTGCAATGAAGGCGAAAACAATTAAAAATGTAATACCTTTGAAAAGGTTTTCAACAATCTGAGATGCCACAGCAACTTCGACCATGTTTTTCCGGCTATGTCCTGCATCAAATTGTTCTTTTCCACGAGCTATGTTGATAAACGAGTATGAGGTGTACATGTTTCCATCGAGAAATTCCTTCTTGTAACTTCTTTGTTGTACAATAGGAGCATCGCGAATTTGCCCATTATAGAACTCTTTGTTTGGAAAGAGACTTATGAAGGATGCATCCGGTACTGGATATTAAGTAGATGTTTATGATATTCTAACAGAACCAGCCTCTGAAACAAGCTCCTTCCAAATTCAGCATTCTCAGAAATCTATCAGATTTAGACCAATTAGAAAATAAAATTACCCAAATGTTTGAACAAGAGAAAAAAGGGTAATGCTATCTCGTTACCGGGCTTTGGACCATTGCAGGCCAGTTGATGCTCGTCGCCTATAAGAATCGCGTGGCGTAAACCTGGTAGTTGTAAAGGAATGGCTGATTCACATTCTTTGAGTTGAGCTGTTTCATCAATAACCAACAATTCTAGCGGAGCCATTCCTTCAGTCTGCAACTTAGTAGAACTTGATGCAGTACAAAAAACCAATGTTGCATTTGCTAAGCAAAAATTTTTTATCATATATTTCTCAATGAAATCTGGAACTGCAAATTTTTGAGGCAGCAATTCGAGGATTTCAAGGAAATTCTTTATCGTGCGACGAAGTGAAATGTTAAGAAACGTTGTCCTTCCACTGTGAATATCTTTAAAGATTTGCTTCAGCCCACCATCGTTAAGAGTACTCCATTTGAAGATAACTTTCTCAAGATACTTGAGCTGATTGAGAGCTTTTACCATGTTTACTACAACATCTTTCGAAATGACAGAAGTAGGTAAATGAGTATACAAATTGACAATGCAAAATTTGAGCCTCTCAGAATAATATCTGAATCTCTTCTTTAGAAATTCCTCATATGTGAGAGGATCATCACATTGTTTCTTTTCCGATTTTTTCTCTTCAGACACTCTGTTTTTACTGTCTTGATTTCCTTTCAAGAACTTTGATATAACTTGATTCCACAATTTTCTGTTCTGCTCCAATTTCTGATTCTTACCCATTTCTTCATTCTCAGTAACTTCGGGACTATCTTCTTCATTCTCATCGTCGTCTTCCTCATCATCTTCCTTTGTCCAGCTTTGGCAATACCTCTTGTATTGCCCTTCAGGGTCCTCGAGCAAAGATTTCATGCACGACAAACTAGCACTCCAACCATAGAATGATGCAAAACAATGGGAAAGCATGTCAACTCGATAATCAAGAAACACATCAAGAAGATCATTGTGATCGTCAATTTTCAATCTTTCTCCATTCCCAAACAAAACAATATCTCCAAGTCCATAAGTATCGTGTTCAAGTGTCTCCGAAACTAGCCTCACAAGTCGTGTTGTAACTTCCAGGACAGCAGTATTAGTTGGTGCACATGTGACAGTTCTACATTTTAGTTTAAGAAGGGCAAACAAGAGCAACCCAATTGTCTTTGTCTTGCCAGTCCCTGGAGGTCCCCAAATCAATTTTACTGTATTCTCATGGTGACATTCCCTTTTTCTGATACAACTTAAAATGGCAGCTTCCTGGGAATCATTTAACTTGAAAGATCGAATCAAACTCAAAATATTTGAAACTCCAGGAGTCTCAGTCTGTTCAGATAAACATTCAGCACAGTCTGATTCACTCCCCTGCAATGACAGGACACATAAATGACTAGCTATAAATCTGAACGAACCAAAATTTTCGAGTAATTAATTCATTTGAACTGAAAAAGTACTTATAACACTTACAAAAGACATGGGTTGACACACATTCTTGATTATATTCAAGTTTGTCCCTTCAAGCTCCGGATGCAATGCCTTCCATATTCGAATACTTGTTGTCATGTTAACAAGATAAACTCCAAAAAGCATTTCTCTCTTCTTCTCAGTTTCCTCATTATCTTCTCGAAATAAGAATTTCCTACTAGTTTCTGGGTCATCTTTGTTCGTAATAGGCTTCGATGAGAGTATAAAGAATCTGCTAGGCTCATTTTCGTCTACCCCATAAACAAGAGCGATGAGATAAGGTCTGTTTGGCCTGTTAAGATCATCAGTAGATTTTGGCCTCACTCCTGTCAGGGCAATAAGATCTCCCACCTCTGGCTGATACTTTTCGACATTATTCTTCTTGGAATCTCTCTTTCCTTTGGAAGCTCTCTTTCCTTTCACTATAGTTGTATAAAACAAGTCCTTGGGAAGTTTAAAGTCTTTAGATTTTTCAACACTCGATATTTCACAGGCTGGTGTTGTCTGAGAAATTGATTTGAAGCTTGATGACAAGTCAGAATGTATTTCTTCAATCAGAGGAGGAATAAAGGAATTCAGGTAACTTGAAAGTGATCTGAAAGTCTCAGGAATCTTACCCACCTGTTCTATACATACATATATATATATATTGAGAGACAGCAAGTTAAAAAATGCTAAAGTTTACAAAAAGTAATTAAACACTAATTTGCATAAGGATCTTAAGAATCTTCAAAATCATTAACAGAAATACATTTTCATTAGTACGATGGATAGAAATCAATTATAACACAATAAAAAATAGTATTTACATAGCAAATCATGCATCAACCAGTGGTTAAAATTAACTCAAATACATTTGAGAAAGAGAATGGGTAACTATCTTCTTTAGGTCATTTTTTGATATCTGATTCTGATCAATATTTATCAATTTTTATTAAGATAATCAGTCATATGGATATACATATACATATATATGTCTGTATGTATGTATGTATGTATGTATGTATGTATAGTTTGTATCAGCGAAGAGAAGAGATATAAAGGGATGAAGCAGAACCTTGTCTTTGTAAAGATCTTTGTTGAGAACATCTCTAACAGACCAAGAAAACACCATATCAAGCAAGCTTCTGCTCTCAATCTTCTCCTTCTTAACAGATGTGGACTCCATTTTCCTTTACCCTTTCCTATCTTTCTTCTAGCTTTTTTCCAATCACAACTAAAATCTGCATATATATATATATATAATGTTTGTGTGGATACTCAAAAACAAAATGGGTGATCTCGGTGTGAATGTAAGAGAGAGTACTGTTGAGTTTGTGGGTTGCTTACTTATGAAGTCAAGGGCTATACTTACACAAAAAACCCTGGTTAAGAATATCTATGTATATATATATATATATATATATGGATTTATGCTGGCAGGATAAAAGGAAGAAAGAAAGAAAGACCAAGAAAGATATATGGTCAATATATATGATTCTTTTATAAAGTTTTTCCACTTGGAATATGCAAGATCACCAATCAAAGAAACATTTGAAACGACAAAATTCAAAATGCATAATTGTATATATTACGATTAGATTATTCCTACGTAAAAGTCATTATTTAGATCATGACTGTACGTATTACCTTTAACTTTTTCCAGCATGTATGTGTATCTCTCTGTGTGTGTGTGTGTATATATATATATATATATATATATATAAATAGATATTCCTGGGTTATAGGAATTTGATTCATTTTGAGAAACCAACCGATTAGACCTGTTTCTACGGGAGACATCAAGAGTTTTTTTCCCGCCGAATTAATCTTTTATTATTCTATACATTAATTAACACAAATGCAATCCAATCCAATCCAAATTCTGTATTTTCTTGAAAATTTAGTTCATGTAATTTAAGTTTCTTTAATTTTAAGTAAAATTGGTATAAACTATTTGAAATTAATAAATTTTACATTTAAATATGAAGGACTAATTGTAAAAAATAAATAAATTATTAAAAATATATATATATTAAGTATAAATTGAAAAAAAAAAAAAGATCTTATCCACTCGAACCAACCCGCTATGATGCACTAAACGAAAAGTCTGAATCAAATTTGATCGAATTAAATTTAAACTCTTTTAAATTTGGGTCGGGAACGAATTTTGAAATAAACAAAAAAAAAATCATTCAAACTCAATGAGTTAGAAACTCGATCTAAAATTTCTATATGTTTCGGACAAGTTCGGATATTATACAATGAAAATCGAGTCGGATTAGATTTAAATTTTAAAAACCTGACTCAAACGCAATCGAGTTCGGATATTACCCGTGAATTCTCGTATTATTATACTTTTAATCAAAATAATGAAGCGTGACATATAAAATTTTTGAAAATTCAATGAATCATGATAAAATATCATTCATTTTATGTAAATCAATGATAACCATTTATATAATTTTACAAGAGAATTGGGTGGGTGAAAGCATTACTTACACTCTTAAAGTGAAATGAAATTTACTAAAGAAGAAAACCCAATTAGTACCATTTGCTTTTCATTTTTTAAAATTTTTTAAATATTATTATGTCATGTAAATAAAAAATTAAAAAATGTCAAATATGCTTAAAATTAAACTACATACAAAAAGTTTTATATATATATATATATGTATGTATATATGTAACTGTTCCTAAGAACAACCGTACGTGCGACGCATACGTGTATATATACGGTACTATATATAATTCCTTTTTTATTCATCCTTGCACATGAAGAAAAAAGGACCAAAACAAAAAAGAAAAAGGCAGAAAGGCAAAGTGAGAAGCGAATAAAACCTTACTCAAGGCTGTCAGCTTGTGACGTAATAATATTACATCATATATGCTTTTTAATTTAATAAATATTTAGAACTGAATGTAATTTATATTATAAAATTTTAAAATATTTAGTATTTATTAAAAATAATTGTAAGAAGTATTATTAATTTTTTAAAAAAATAAAAATTATATGTTTGATGAAAATAATTTTAAATTTTTTAAATTAATAAAATTCAAATTGATTTTGTAAGAATTACAAATTATAAAGCTTGGGTTATAAATATCAAAAAGCAGAAAATGTCACTTCTATATGTATATATATATATACATATATACATACATATTAAAGGAGAGAAAGGTGATGTCCGTACAGTCCTACTTTTTTAAAGGTAAAATTATAGTACCATATGCCTTTTTCTTTTAATTATTTGGAATTATTGCTCTGTATTTGATTTTTTTTTAAAAAAAAAAAAAGAAAATTCATTTATAATACATTATTAATTTTAATTTTATATTGGTTTTTAGTTATTATGTAATTATTATTATTATAATCTCATACGACAACTATAGTATATATATAAAAAAAATTATATATTTTGTTAAAAAAAATTAAATTAAACTATGTTATTGCATTATCTTATGTCATTTATAACATAAAATAAATTTATATTTTTTCTCAAAATATCTATATCAAATTATATTATATTATTTAAATATGTAAACAAAAATATCCAATTCTACCACTAATAAAATAATAGATACGAACATTTATTGTTATTTTATAAATATAGATGATTTATCTCGTTAGTATATCGGTGAATCTGTAATTATTAAATTAAATTTTAATAAATTTATTACGTTTATATTTAATTAAAGAGACTTCAAAACTTTAGTTGTTATAGAAATGGGTCGGCCTTTATTTTATTAATTGGGTATGATTTTAGCTAATTGGGCTTTTTCATATGGGCTTAAGTTTTGAGCCTTTTAACATAACGAAAATAATTAGGGACAATAATATCATCCTGTGGATTAATAAGTACATAAAATAAATATATATATATATATACATATGTTTACTTTTTTTTTTTACTACATACATATGTATTTATACATGTATTTACCCATAAAAGTATGTAAAAAGAATGCATTTACTTATGGAATAATCGAATATAAAAAATAGTTTCCTAAAGAAAATCAAATACAACATTTTTATAAAAAAATTTAACATATAAATTGAAGAATATTTCACGTACCAAACATGATCTTATATACATACATGTATAAAATTTATATTTTTTAACAAAGTATCGTATTCGAACAAGTTCAAGTTTATATATATTATAATTATGAGTCGGGTTTGGATTTTATAAAACTTTTCATACACTCGAGCTTGCCAATTCTATTTCTTCAACACATCATGATTTGTTGTGATATTTTGCATCTAATACCCCCTCAATTTTCTGTTTAAATCTTGCATTAAACACGACATTAGTACAATGACTTAATCTTAAATTTATGATATTTCTATTAAAAATTATGAGTTTAAATATTATTGATAACACAAAATTTATTATATCTATATATATATTATATATTATGTAAGGACTAGAAAGTAGAAAGAATAGAAAGAAAAAAATAATAATAATAATAATAAAAACGACGTCGTTTTAGAGAGGGGAAAAACGACGTCGTTTTGAAAGAAAGAAAAACGACGTCGTTTTGGGATGTAGGAAAACGACGTCGTTTTGGGGTAGGCTGGCAGAGTATAAAAGGAGGTCGGGAAAGGGAGAAGGAGAAAGGAGAAAAGAAAAAAAAAAGAAAAGGAAAAAGAGAAAAAGAGAAAAGGAGGGAAGGAGGACAGCGGAGACGAAGAAGAAGAGGAAAGTTCCAGAAGGAAAGAGGAGAGAGTCGAGGCGGAGGGGAGCGAGAAGGGAGAGGGAAGGAGGCCGTGGACGGACAACGCGACCGGCAGGAAGAAGGAAGATGGAAACGGGAGGTACGGTGAAAATTTGAGCTGTTTGGTGTGGTGTGTGTGTGTAGAGAATTTTGTTGCAGGTTGCGGCGTCGGCAATGGCGCGACGGAGTGGAGCAGTGAAGGTAGGCCGTAAGCGTGGGGTTGTCTCGCGCGCTCACGGAGGTGATCGGGGAAGGAATGGAAAGTATGGCGGTGTTGGAGGCGTGTGGGGAGCCGTGGGGAAGGATGGGGGTGGTGCGGGTAGAACAGAGTGAGGAGGATGTGAGAGAACAATCTAGGGGGCGCGGGTGGGATAAAAACTCGAGAGGACAGAAGAGGTGTGTGCGTGGTGTGTGCGTGGGTGGGGATGTGGAGGGAGCCGCTAATAGGCAGTGATGTGTAACGGCCCCGGAAAATATTAAAATGAAATGAGTATTTAAATATATCAAATGCGGAAGCGAGATCAAAATTTCATTTAACATCCCTTACACGAAAAACCAAACAAACGTACTTAAAATATAAAAGGTTAAACTAACTAAGAAAGAAAACTCGAAAATAAACTATGCGTATGACTACAGAGTCTCTAGGCATCCCCTTCGTCGTCCTCCTGCGGAACGGGCTCGGGAACCATGTCTTCCTGATCTGAAATGGTTAATTAAGGAGTGAGCTACACTAGCCCAGTAAGAACATCACGATATCTCGCCGTCACGGAGATAAAGGTGGGTAGAAAACCACAAAAAGACCAATGGAGCATAATTTACAATAAACTCGTTTATTAACAACAAAACCTTTTATCAATAATAAAACTTTTACCATCCACTTACCTTGGTGGAATTTATGAAAAACAATATGAGAAAAACAATAACATTATCATAATCATTGAATAATCTAAGCTGTAAAACATAACACTTATCACGCCTCTTGTAATTCAATCATTGTACAACATATCTTTTTTTTTTTCATTTACCAGCCTACTAGTATCCGTGGGGGTCCATAGGGGTTCCGCTACCCGTTAACCTTTAACATTCATAATCAGTTTCCAGGGCCGTCCCCATACCCCGTCCGGTATGGGCGCCAAAACCATGAACCTCAATACCCCGTCCGGTATGAGGGTGAAACGGGCCGTCCCCATACCCCGTCCGGTATGGGCGCCAAAACCATAAACCTCAATACCCCGTCCGGTATGAGGG